TAGTTTGGTTCTCATGCAACAAGTAAATTTGTTATTAAAACTGTGCCCCACGGATGTAATTAAGACCGACATAGTGCCTATGTTATTGCGTGCATTAGAATCCGAATGGGAACAGCTCCAAGAACTCTGCCTATCGGCATTACCAAATATTGTGACGATGATTGAGGGACCAGTTATAAAAAATGCCATACTTCCACGGATGAAAAAGATATGTTTGTCGCCAGGAAAGAAATCTACTAGTCTTGGAGTACGTGTTAATTGTTTGCTGTGTCTCGCGAAAATGTTACCGAGCTTTGATCGTTGGCTGGTATTCGATCAGATATTACCATTCCTCCAAGAAGTTCCTCATTCTGGCGAACCAGCAATTTTAATGGCTATTATTGGTAATATATTTTATTAGTACAAAATTTTAAAAAAAGAAATTCTTAATATATTTTACATTTATTGTAAAATTTATTGTAATCTGCTCAATTTTATTGAAAAGATTGAGAAAATATTTTTCTCTATGTTGCTAGGTATTTACAGAATGCTACTTACTCATAGTAAGCTAGGTATGGGCAAAGAAATATTGGCAACAAAAGTACTACCGTTTCTGTTACCCCTTTGTATAGAGCAAAATCTTAGTATGTCACAATATGAGACACTTTCCACTCTTGTCATCGATATGATAAATCGAGTAACCAGCGAGCATCGAGAGGCATTACGTCAATTGGATGCTGTACGTCGTGAGACGCAACAACTCGATCAAGCGCTTTCACAAGTGACTTCACCCACTTTTATGCAAAACAACAGTTTAAGCGACATTAATTTAACGCACCAAATGCTATCCCCGCATGCTAATTCTAATTCTAAGACTGTATATATTGAGAATGGATTAACTATCGAAGACAAGTTCAGGTATATCTTGACTATATTTCAAAGACTTAATATATTTTCTTTAAATACAATCACATAATCATTAATTGTAATATTAAAACATTGATGATTTTTTTCTAGATTGATTCAACAACAAGAAACGCATCAAAGAATGCAGTCTCAACCTATGCTAACTCCTAAAGCTGTATCACAACCTTTAAAATCGCAACCGAAGGATTTGACTGCGACTTTGCTAAAAAATAATTTAGATGAATTAAATCTGTCAATGTCAAGATCGACTATGTCACAACCGACTACTAAAAATATTGCACATAAATATAATGACATTAGTCTAACGCAATCGCAATTTTTAACGTCTCCGACGCTTAATTCGCAAACAATGTTGAATAGACCAATGAATTGGAATTCCAATGGAATGAGTACACCCATGAACTGGAACTCGCCACAATCCACCTTGGTGTGGAATTCTATCGCTCCTCAGAATAACGTAAATTTTGCGACACAATCAGAGATTAAGCCAAACTTAAACTTTTCTGGAACCTTGCAGCCTCTCATATCACCCACTAATACGCAAACTAATGTAAACAAACCTAATTCATCCACGCAAGATATAATGGATTTGCTCAGTTAATAAGTTGAAATATCTTTAAAGTTATTGCTGAGATAACAAACGGTACGTTAGAGAGTAATATGAAAACGGTGCAGTGATTGCAATACATAGGGTGCATTCAGTACTACAACCGCTCACTAAGCGCTTAGTGAGTGGTCGTAATATTGAATGTAACCATAATTTTTTGTCTAATGTGATTGATTTCGAATGTAATATTATCGAAGATGAAAGTCACCATTATATAATAAAGAGTTGTAAAAAAAAGTAGATCATCTTTTGTATCAGCACGAGCGATCAAAGATTGCAATATTAGACCAATATTATTATAAATAATAATTGTTTTACATATTTTATATTGAGACTGTTCTGCCTAGAATTTAATTGTAGATCTCTTAAGAAATCTTGGAGAACAACAAATAATTACCGGAGAAAAGCATGTCTACTTAGCATAAAACTAAAAACTAATATGCTTACATGATGTTTTCCAAAATAAAACGCTCATCTTTGCAATGTTTTTTGTCCCCAATGCTTAAGACATACGGTTGAGTATTTTATCAGTCATATATATATGACTGATAAAATATATATATATATATATATATAAAACTTTTCTTATATATATATTCTGTACATCTATATTCCTTGTTTTAATGATGTCGATAACTAGAAAAAAGTCTATGTCTGTTGTAACTCTTCTTTGGACGCTTCATTAGTTTTATTGTATACTTCTCCTGTTTTAATATTTATGAACCATTAAACAGATATATATTTATTAAGATGTTCAAAGTCGACAAATATTAGAATAACAGATTTTCAGATAATATTAAACTGTATTAAGTATGAAATAATTGAGTTATTACGAATACTAAAGAGTAGTAACTTCGAATGTGATAATAAAATGGAAGTCACAATCTTTTATACAGAAATACATGTTTTTATCGTGATTTAATTCGTCATGCTCCCTCACGCTTCGATGTACATATAGCTTGTCCGTGGGATAAAGAATAAACTTGAATATAAGAATTATTTAAAATAGAAGTATTGCTCATTAAAAAGATCTAGGATTGTGAACCGCCGTTTTCATTCCATACTTGGTGATTTGTAATAAAGAATCGTTCGTATATATCAATGATTGTATATTAATACGATTGTTGTGTTCTGGTATCTACTTGTAATATACCGTCATATAAGCTCTGCAGAAATAAAATTTATTTTTTAATATATTTCTGTATGAAATGATCAAGCGTTGTATATATGTTACAAATGATCAAAACAATGCATTAATTTTATTCGAAATTTTGTGCATGCGAGATTACTATGTAAATTTCTACGATACATTACGTAAATCTCTTTGATTGTTTGCAATTGTTACCTTCAAGCAAATGTATTTGAAATTACAAAAATAATTGTATTAATTTGTAATGTTCTTGGATTTATTTGTTGTTTATTTTGTTATTGTGTACAATTGTTAATGATTGCTATTTGAGTCTAATAAAACTGCTTGAAATGTTACAGCTTAAAATAAAAGATGTGTCAATTTATATTACTTTTACCTCTTACCATTATTACTTACATTATTATTAATTATGAATTGCATATAAAAATGTGTTTCTAATTAAAATTTGATTTTATAATTATTATCTGGTAGTTGAAACTCTTATACAAAGATAAAAAAAGTTCGTCATTATCAATATATCCGGATAATTTCTTCTATACTTAATTAAAATTTTTTTCTTATATTTTTATGTAAGAAAAGATAAGAAATTTGCAAAAATTATTAAAAAACTTTAAATTTTCTTTTTATAAATTATATATTTTTTTATTTGTATAATGCTTTTCTCCATAATTGACTGCAGCATACAATGGGAAACACGGTACTAAATCGAAAAACAAGAATTTACTTTAAAAAGGGACATTCACCCTATAGTTGTTCGTCATAAAAACCACCGATTCCTTTGTTCTCGGAACACCGCGCAATTAGGTTTCATAGACGCCGATAACCGTGTGTGTGCAACGGCGGAGAAATGCTGGAAGTATCGATTATTCAAGCTGTACTATCGTCGTCGTCGAGAGGCGCAAGAAGAAGTACCGGGATGAAAAGAAAACTGCCCCTTCCTCAAATAGACACACAATAAATAGAAAAGAGTTAATGCAGAAGAAAAAAAGAAGGTTTTTAAATGAGGGCTGCACTCGTTAATTGGCTGAGTATGCCTCCCTGTAACAATCCTCCATTCTCTTTGGGATTGCAGCCACGAAGGGCTGCACAAAAGTGGCTCGCGCCCTAGGAAGTTAAGCACTCAAACTCTCGTTTGTTCGAGCATTACTCGCGATAATTATCGTCGTGTCTCGTTATTCAATGATTTATTAAGGACCAAGAAATATGGAATTCTGCAAAAAATATTTTTTAACGCGCTCTCTTTTCAATCCTGTTATAGTTATTAAAAAAAAATGGATCTTTATAATGTACAATTTCGTTTGTAAAAACAAAGTAAGATCGTATAGACAAAAATATATTAGTTATATAATATATATATATATATATTAGTTGAAACTAATATTAGAAGAAAAAAAATGAAGGATTGATGATTATTTCCATTAGTAAATTTCTCTTTTTATTAAAAAAATAAAGAAATATTAAACTATTGATTGAGGAGAAATTAATAGATAGAATTATTTATTAAACTTTTTAAGTAAGTATGCAGTAATTCTCTGCATATTTATTGTATAATTAGAAATATATGTATATACAAATATATGTATAGACAAATAAAATTGTATTTAATATATCTTATATGATGTAATTTAATATCTTCAACAAACATATATATTATTAATAATAATATTAATGAAATTAATTAATATTTACATGATTAATTAGGTTTTACCTTCGCAGATTGTTAAAAATAAATTGTTTATTAAAGATAGAAGAAGAATATAATTTAAATTATCTAATTTGATATTTAAATCAACCTAATTCAAAATCAATTGCTTAAAAATATGTTAAAAATTATTCATATTAAAATTTAATATACATATATGTATACATTCATGATATATATTTTTATTGCAAAAATATTAAATTTCGGAGGACATCCCTATCATTACAGGGGAGAAAAGAAGATATATTTATCTCATATCTATGTTTAATGTACAAATTATTCTTTTTTCCCCTCTTTGAAACATTATATTGGTCGTCCAATATTATGAACTCTTCGCTTCCTTAGCGCCGATACTGAAAGCCACCCCCGACTTTGGCGCCTTTGCAATTACTTCTTCGTTGTTCCTTAGAGGATATCGAATCGCCTACCCTCGGCAAAATCAGCCTCGCTCGAGTTCTCGGCTCCGAAAACACGTAACGGCGTAGCGCGCTGTGTATAGATCGGACATTCATTCATGGAAGCCAGGCGGCGGCGGCGGCGGTGGCAACGGTGGCGGCGATTCGACCCCATCCGACACAGAGAAAGAGGGGTGGCCGGCGACCCCGGCTTTAGTCGCGATGTGCGCGTCGCCCCATCGCAGTTGCTCCCTGTTTCGCATTTCCGCGGGATTCCTCGCCGACGAAGAAAAATCTCGCGTCGATCACGTCGTAAATCTTATTCTGATTTTACGGAATAATTCGAAACGAGGGAGTGGCGGTATCCGCGAATAATTCGATTAGATTGTTGTAATGAAAAATAAATTGTTTTTAAATTATAAACTCAATTTCAGTTTATTTAGTGATACGCCTAGTCTTTAAGGTTGTCATTAGCGTCGCGGTGTTGATAACGTTGACTCTAAGCGAAGACGAGAGAAAGAACGTTTTTTTTATTTCTTGCCGTATTAATTCAAAAAATGTCCACGTTGCAGTTTACTTCTAAAGATTTAATAAATAAGAAATAAATTAAAAGTTACTTCTAGTTTACTAAAGAAAAAAAGAAGGTTCAGGGAAGAAAAAGTAAGACATAAGAATAGTGTTGGTTTCTTAGCGTCCCAAACTCTCATAAACATCGTCGGTATTCTCCCTTGGCGGGAGGGTAATTTCGTGTCCGTCGGAGGGTCGACCCTCGGAGCAGCGCGGGGATGCGCGCGAGGGTGTTTGTGCGGCGTGGATAGGCGAGCCGGCAATTTCGCGTGTGGTTCTCGATATCGATTCTAGAAGGCCGCCGCCACCGTCAGAGTAATCGCGCACCCCCTTCGTCGTCCTTCGGTCGGCAAAACGACCGCTCGTTGACATCGTCGTCGTCGATACGCGAAGGGGGGATCGATGAAAGGCAAGATCGATCGATCGGATTGGAAAACTGGCAGTCAGATTCTGTCCTGTCTGCGGAAAAGATCTGCGATCTGTGATTAATCGCGCCGGGAAGATGTGGACCGTATCGGGATAAAAGTATTGCGTAAGCGTTAATTTTTAAACAACATAAAGGTTGGAAGAATATTTCAAAGATGTTTCGAAGATATTTTATTTGAAGTTATGATACCTATCGCATGTATGTTTGAGGCGTTTAAAAAACATCTTTCATTTATGTTCTACGTTACATTTAGAAAATATTCAAAATACTTGATAACACTGATAATTGAATTAATCGGGTATTAAGTAAAAATAATTTAAAAATAAACGGTAGATATTTAATTTTTAATTTTGAAAAATGTAATTTCGAATAAAAAAATATATTTCAAATATTTAAATTTATAATTAGAGCAATTATTTAGCAAAGTATTGTTAATACGAAGTTTTAATCCAATTTTTCTTTTTACATCAGAAAACATATTTGTCAATTAAACTTTAACTCAGAAATTTAAAAAATATAATAAAAAAATGAGAAATAAAAAAGAAAGAATAAAAAAATATTATACATAATTGTTACGCATATTTTAAAACGTTAACATGATATATTTTTGGCCATAAATTATCGATGCATCTTGTGCATGTTTCGCGATTGTTATTGCAAGAATACTCGACGCGTTGCCCTCGTCGCGCCTCCGACAGAGGGGCGATGTTTATCTGTGATATATCAATGTTAATCACCACTACGCGTGTTCGCTGCGATAAGCAACGCATATCTGTCTGCGTGGGGTCGGTATTCCCTTTTGCACGTAGCAACGAACTCATTATTCCAATTGCATAATCGATCCAAATACCGCTTTTTACGCCATTCCAACACGTGGATTGTCCACACATACATATTATGTATCATCTATTAGCCTCATTTAGGTCCAAAATACTTATTAAAAGCAAAATGTGAAATAAATTACTCTTGTCTGTAATAACTTTCTTTAATTAATCAAATAATAAGAGAATTTCATTTTTTTTCTCGAAAGAAGAAAAAAAATTACAAAAAATTATAAAGTAGAGAAATCAAAATCTGCAAAGATAATTATTTACTGAACTAAATAATCTTTTTGCAGATTTTGATTTCTTTACTTTAATAACAACGTTATTTTAAATTATAGTAAATTAATCTTTTTTACAATATTATATTTGATAAGTATTTATAATAAAAATTTTATATCAAATTTATGCGATTTTTCAAACAAGATATTTCAATAGAGAAAAGGAAAAATTTCACACATGGATCGCATTTTCTCGTAAATTAGCAGGGGAACGCAGACAGCGAGAAATCTCGATTTTAACGAGCACATTTATGGAAGGGTCCACCATCTATCCATTTTTGTTTCGCGTGAAAAGAATCTTCAGAGGGTTCGAGATATCCCGCGGAGACCAGTCAGGTCTTTCACAGATATGAGCAAATATTTTGTGGACATAGAGGCGATATTGGAAAACGATTTAGACAAACATTACACATTTCGTCGTATATGTATATAGTTAGTTTCATAGTTAACTAAATAAAAATTTTTTTTAAGTTGTTAATATCTTAGAATTATTAATTAATCTATTATTTTCTATCAAATAAATTTGTGGAAAATAAACATTTCCATAAATTATATTTATACAAAATACTATCTGTGATAAAAATTATTTAATAAACTATTCAATATGGAATATAACAAATGCAAAAGTTGAAGCATAAAAAATTATTTTTAAAAATCTATTTTTATTAACCACATTTTAAATATGCGGTAAAAATAGAATTCTATGTTAAATATGTAATTCATTAAGTTTGTAAATGTTAATTGTGCAATCTCTATTCTCTGTATTAATTTTGCAAATATCATGTTAAAAACATCTCATATCTCTTAATGCGGTCGGCGTTATACACAGACGCGTATGTGCGTTTTCTGAAACGGTGCATGCTAGGGACTCAGCCGATCGATACCGACGCGAAAGGACGATGCCCGATTTCGATTTCCCTCCGAGAAGCGACGCGGGGTTGCCCTAAGGGTTCAACACGTGCAATTATACAGGGCTGCAGATTTTCAGAAGCGGAGCGGGGATGCAAAACGCACGCACGTCGCTCGGTGACTTTGATCGTTGGCCCAAAGTAAAATTATGCTGCTATAGGAGCGTTAACTTATTTGCATCTATAAAGCAAGTAAATTGACGATGTGCCTTGCATTAATATATATATCAATCGCAAAAAGATAATTAGAATTAGACGAATTTAGCAAAAGCTTAGATCAAAAAAATCATAAATTTATTAATTTTTTTAATTATTAAATGTTTATTTTATGTTTAAATTTAATTTCTTACTTAAAATTAAAGTCAAAATCAATAAATAAAGATTTTAAATATATATATAAATTATATTATATTTACAATATAATTTTATAGAAATTACAGAAATTACTTATTTACAGTGATCACAATTAAAATAATGTTATTATTAAAAGAATTAGAAATTATATTCAGGAAAAGAATATTATTAGTAATATATGTTATTAGTTTTTTGTGACTTTTTAATACTAAGAATATTAAAAATAAAATTAAAAATGCAGTTTACATTATAGTGTCTTAATGTTTAATTTTAATTACGGTTACAAAAAAAATTTTTTTTAAATTTAATGCCTCAATCGCATGTTCGATAGTTATCATCGGGGTTAAAGGAGTTTTCCAGGAGCTTTATAGGAACATTTATTATTCCGACGTAATCTGGGTTACTCTGGTTTACTTTCTTTAAACGTAATCTCTAGTTCTCATTAAACGTAATCTCATGTTCTACTTTGCTTTAACTTATTTTATACCGATAATATTAGTCTAATTTATTTAACGGTCTAATTCTAACTTAAGCGCATTTTATTATTATTAACAGAAGAGATACGCAGATTTGTTATATTTTCTGGGGCACCGAAATATCTCGGTTAGGCCCTGGCGATCATCAATGAAGAGCCGGACATGAATTGGACATTCGAATGGTCATCATTGGGATTATTAATCATCCTTCTTCTGAGATGCGGTATTAATAACATAGATTTTAATTTTCACACAAAAAAGAAATGCAAGATTCTACTATAAGAAGAAGTGACATAATTGAGAATCATTACAATTAGTATAATTACAATTAGTAATTAAAAAAATATTTATATCAAGATAAGAGAGAGCTAAGTTAGTAAATCACAATCAAATAACAATCAATAAATGAGCAAAAAGAGATTTTTTTAAAAACTAGGACAATATATTCAAAAATAGAATAAAAAATTACAAAGTCCATTTAAAAATAGACATTTTTATAAGATATAAATATGATAAAGAACGCCAATAATCAGTCAAAGTCAGTTATTATATATTGAATATATATTGTATAAATACAATATATATTCTTAATTTAAATTTAATTATCTGAGATGTGAGACTGTGCGAAATTCATAATATCTACTTTGACCGATTATTGGCGTTCTCTCTATCATATTAATGTATATTATTTACTATCTATATTTATGTATATTTATGTATATTATTTACACAGTCATACTTATTCTTAAATCGTGTATCGTAAGACATTTCGTACTCATAGAATCTTCATCAGTTGCAGCTAAGTTAAAGTTAATTTTAATAATTTAGCTCCAATCATATGAACAATACTGAACTTGCATTTGTATATCAGATTATATATAATTGTTCAAACATAATTATTTAAATTAATTTATAGATAATTATCGACTAACGTCTCTATTTATTAACAAACGTATTTGACGTAAAGTTGTTTTGTGCAACTTTAGATATTCGTGTTTACTGGTTTCAGGTATCACAAGATCGATAACAGACGCGAAGGAGCCGATACTATTAAAAGTTGTTGCTCCTCCATCCCACACGGCTTTGTCTGGAGACGTAACAGTTTTTATTTTGGATTCGGCAGAAATAGAATCTTTTACGATATCTACAAATATCATGTCCACCAACGGCACAAATGGCGCAAGGAAAGACGAGAAAGAAACAATCGATCCAAAAAGAGAGGGAGTTAACGCGGGTCACGAACCGCTTGTGCTTAGGTATGTACAAGAGTCATAAAATTTAACAAACACGCACGTTGTCGCGGTGCCCTGAAATATTCAGCTGTTTACCCCAGCATGCACCCTTAAATAAGCAAACATTAAGATAAAATAATCATAGAAGAGATAAGTAAAAGCATCTGTAATTGCAAGACCATTTTCATAAATATTTCCAACTTTAGTTTATGATTCAAGTCCGATAAACTGAATTTATGCGCAGTTTATAACACCAAAAATGTATTTTCAAATTTGCATATAATATTATTGTATTAACCAAGATCCGCTTTGAAAATAGGATTCTTTTTATTACTTGATTTATTTTTCATTAATTGTTCCACTTATGCAATTATTTTCACAAATATTTTATTTTATTCTTTATTCATAAATGATTAGTTATAAATGAATAATAATAAATTTATCTTTCCTACATCGAGTTCCGGAAAACTGAAATTAATTCGTTACTATCGATATGATATAGTAATATAAACGATTTATATCGCATTTCAATTCGCGATTAATTTTAGAATACTGTACGTTGATGGCCTCACGTCGGAATTGATTGGTGATTTCCCTCTGGATACCTTGCCGCATAAGGGTGAGAATATTTCTGTGATAATACCTTGTGGTGTTTTCTCGCGTGGCGGAATTTATACACTACGACTTCAGTACAAGTTCTCAACCGTGGCTGCCAGACATAACACTGCCATTGCCGGGCTGCCTGAAATTGAGGTGGGTACACTATTTTTACAATTAAGATTGCATTTATAATATCAGATGCATTAATTAATGTAATACAATAATACAATAATAATGTAATACTATAATAATTTTAACATACATACAACTACGATAATTTTAACAATAATTGCATAATTTATTATACCTTTAGAATTATTATTTTTAGCCGTCACATTATAAAATCTTCTTTAGCAAAAATTAAAGAGATTGCAAAATCATTAATATTGATTAATATGAATCAAGATAAAATTCAAGATAGATTGATAAATGAAAGTATAGAAATCAATTTTTTTTTAAATCTCACTTTATACATTTTTTTTTGAGGACACGAAGAATTCGTAAAAGAATCATAATAAATCATAATAATTGTATTTATAATATTAATATATCGTTCGAAGAAGTGTTATCTAACTGGAATGTAAAACGTATTTAGATGAGCAGTGCCTTAGACGTAAAGTGGCCAACCCCTTCTTTGCTCTTGGAATCCCAACACTTTGGTACATATCCTAATCAGTCGATAATAGCAACTATAAAGTACAAGGGAATTTCGTGTGTCCCTGCCAATGGTGTTCCTGTGGCAGCTTATATTTTGCAACTCATATATTGCGGTACTACCGCGGCCGCCTGCGATCCACAGAACAACAGTCGCATGCAAGTAAGCGCTACATTTAGTAAAGGGAGTGTCGTATAAAACGAGAACGTTGCGAAATCCAATCTCTTATGTTCCTCGAACTTGCCTAGGTGCTCTATTACGAAGAAATAAATGGCTTCACTTCGCCGAAGATCGTCAAATTGAAATGTGAATTTTTTGGACTGGCTGGAAATTATGCGCTTCGATTAAAGGCCTCGGAAGTTAATCCATCCGCACCGACGACCAGCGCGTACATTAAGGTAATTAAATTTCCCTATTTAAGTCATTGAAGTATAGTGATGGGAAGTAATAATTAAAGAGATAACTATTATTAGAACATCGCAGGATTAATGTATCACGTGCTTATTGTGTCGTGAATATAATTTATACTATATATGTATACATGAATTATTTTATGTATATAATTATTTTATGTATAAATTATTTTATGTATATAAATTAATTGTTTATATATATTTTCCAAATCCTTTGGAGTGGAATTTTATTCTAAAGAGTAAAAATTGAACGTCTTGAAAAAGAGTAACTCAATTTTCTATCTTTGAGAGTAAAATTTCACACTTTAGATGACAATTCACTCTAAAGGTTTTAGACAGTATTAGTTTATATACATATATGTAGAGGAAAGGCTCCTATTATGAGATACCGAGTTCATTTTGGGTAAATACTAGAAGCTTTAGGCAGAATTTAAAAAAAATAATAGGTCATTTTGAAGGAAATTTAATAAGCTTTAAAATAATGTTATATAAAATTTAATTCAAATTCTATTTTTTCTAAAAATTAAAGAAATGTAAAAAGTGAACAAATTGCAAAGTCAAAAAATTGTGCTCCTAATATGAGATGTCCCGAGAAATCGATAGTAAAACGCAAATTATATCAGTATTGCAATTAAAACTTTAATGTTTCTAAAATACAAACAAACACAGCCAGCGTGCATGCAAAGTGAACATGTGATAGATTGTACCCAGAACTCGTCTTCAGGTAGTTGGAATCAAACATTCCAAATATAGGCACTCAAGGTTCATTCCGGTTGTTTTTTTTTATTATTGTACAATAATATTTATACTTTAGCAACAATTTTCACTACATAGGAACATTGGTTATTTCATATTAAGAATACCCTGGGTATCTCATATTACGATTTCCACGCCTTATGGTTTTACGATTATCAAATCTAACTTCTGTAATTAGACAATTCAACATATCCCGTATTTTTCTATTAGTACGACCTTACTTTATCACTACATGAAGAATTTATTGCCAAATATTTATTTATTAAATAATAAACAAGGTTTAAAGGCTCATCTCAATGAAACTTAAAGACATCCAAAAATTCTAAAATCTTGTTTTATAATGACTACAGATATGATCTAATAATGAATTTTCTAAATAGTTTTCAATCCAAGAACAATAAATTCATGGTGGAACCAATAGATAGCGTTTATTAGTTTAGCAGAAATCGCTATCTCATATTAGGCACCTATCTCATAATAGGTGGCTTTCCTCTATACATATATTTATATATACATACATTTAAAGTATATATTTTGAGAAACATCTACATTTTTTCTAAAATTTTTCATATGTGTGTATTCTAAAATATTCCAAGATTTCTCTCATTTTATAGTTTCTGATAAAATCTTATAAAAAAATTTAAGGCATTCTTTTTTATTATAGAATGTACGAGAAATCTTAGAAATCTTAAAATATTTCAGAATTTGTATATGAAAAATTCTAAGAAAAATATAGACTTTCTCAGTATTTCTGAAAAGTGTACCAATTCATATAAAAATTGTGGGAAAATTTTTTATCAAGGATAATAATCTATATAAATGGTAATTTTTAAGATAATTGTTGTAAAGTATAATATTTAAGCAATGTTAAGATAAAATCTTTTATAAAAAACTAATTATTTAATTACATGCAAGTTTTTTTATTTAACATTTTTTGATTTAACAATTATATATTTTATATACGTTGTATTTTTTTTCATTTGCAGGTGGAATGGTCCACCGAATTTAGTTTCAACGTTCACGCGAGATCAATCTATCCCTGCGAAGGAACAGCAGGCATATCGGTTCTCTTTCAATATCCCACATGTCGTCTTCAAGGTGATCGCGTGCGCGTCTACGGTCGTCTTCGGGCGGATGTGAGTTCCCTGGCGCCGCCGTCCGCCTTGCACTACGTGGCGGAATTAAAGGCGGCGCCAGGCAAGCATTCGCTGAACTTCGACTGCGATCTCTTTACTGAAAAGTTCATCGAGTACTGCTTCGTTTACGTGAGTCAGGCGATCACCGGCGCGATGGCGGAAGTGAAGCTCGCGTGTATACCGACCTTCCCGCTGCTGGGTGAGTGCAAATGCTTAAAAGTCTGGTGTCTCCACCTCCCTCCCCCCAACAGATTTTCCGCCTCGTAATTCACCTCGAGAGATTGCTACACGTAGATTTTATCTTTTCAACGAGCCTCGATTGCATTTGATGTAGGTCAAAATAGATCAAATTGATGATGTGTGATTTAGAGAAGTAAAATTCGACTTTAAATAAAACAATTAATTTAACGTATAATTATATTGTTAACGATGATGATAATTAAGAGATAAATTAATTCAATTTAATATATTATTAATGATATTGTTGTGCTTTATTATTATACTTTGATTTGATTTATTCTTTTTGATTCTATTCAATATTTACTAAAAGGATAAATAAATTATAAATTGCTCACTTCTGTTGTCTTTAAGCTATAAATATTATAAATACACTGAGAAAAAAATATTTCAATTAACTTTTATTTAAATAGTACTAAATATTTATTAAACATAAATATTATTAAACATAAAAATATATTTATTTCGTACAAAAAACATTAATTTAATTTAATAATCATTTCTTTTTATTAAGTAAATATTTATTTATTGTAAGTAAATGTTTAGTTGACAGTATTCAAATAAATTTTATTTAAATTTAAAGTATTTTTTCTCAATGTATAAATTAATTTTTAAAAATAATTGAAATACGAATAATTGAAAATTTAATTATTTAATTATTAATTTTTTAAAACAATTTTAAGAAATTAAATTTCTCGATAGATAATATCGAAGATTAAAAAATTGCGGCCAAGTATAGAGTACTATTCAAATTCAAACTTTTTAAGCTATTTTGAGCCATAACACTCGACTTTTGAGATATCCTGTACAAATTTTCCTCCCTTCTCATTTCAATTATTAATGCAGAAAACGACGCGGCTGGTTGGGGTCCTTGGAGCGCGTGGAGCCCTTGCAGCAGCTCTTGCGTGGGTGGCGTTCGTAATCGATATCGATTTTGCGACACGCCACCCCCGAAATACGGAGCGAAATTCTGTCAGGTGAGTTTTAAAGATGGATGATGCAAAATGCGTGGCAATCAAATCAAATAGTGACGCTTTGCTCAAAATAGGTTTTTTTTCGGTGGTACCGGCAGAATCGATTTTCAAGAGGCGTGGAACACCGAAGGATGGGAGTGCCGACACGGAATGACATTAGCGGCCACAAGACCGGAAGTCACGGCTCAGATTGGCGTACACTGTCGGTGTGGTTGTATTATCAATTTTGGAGATAAAGCCTTGAACAAAATATTGGCGGCGAATACTCAAGCTTGTCCCGGTCGTTCCTTCTGGCTGCTACAGGTAAATCTCGCGGGAACGTATTATATTATTTTCTTGCAATAATTATTTTCTTAAATAATTTTATACTCGTTTAAAGAAAAAAATAATATTTCGATTTTTTGGATATCTACGAAAGAACGATTTTGCTGAAGTATTTAAAAACTTAGATATTATTTAGATATACAGATCTGAAAATAATTTTGATGAATCACTAAAGTAGTTAAGAATTTCAAACACGATGAGCAATACTACAAAGCTTTGATATTTTATCAATCGTTCTACATAATTATTTTGATGGTCTAACAAAATTATTTTCAAATCTGTACCTAACTAAATTTTTAGATGCTTCAGCAAAACCATGCTTTCCGTATAATAATTGATTCCAATTTATCTATAGGCAAAATCGAATTACATAATTCGACTGCATTTGGATCAAACGCAGTTTCCTTGCCCAGGGCAATATTTTCGCGCTCGCGATGGTGATTCATTAAGCGCGGAACTTTTGACAGATATTGCGTTTGACAAGAGTGCACTCGCGATAGGAACGATATACTCCTCGGGTCAAAATTTGTTGCTCGAGTTTTTTAGCGATGAGCATACCGCCTCGGGGGATTCCTGCGTGGGTGGCTTTTTGGGACATGCGAGCATATTTCGTAAGCTTATTATGTATTAACACAATCAATAGGAACTAGAAATGCCTATACCGAAGTTAGATCT